ATGGAATCCAAGAAATGGATGGCACAGTTCTTCCACACCCATAGGGCACTTTATTATAGTACCCTTAATTACCAGCACTCATGTAACTGGAGAATACTAAAATGAAAACTCATTGATGGGGGGCAGGAATATCCTATATTACTCACTGAAGTATTTGGAACCTTGCAATAATAATTCAGAGGAAAGATTAAGAATTGTAACAAGAATTTCCAAATCAGGGGCGCCTGGGTGGCTCAGTCAGTTGGGTGTCCGACTTTGGCTCAGGTCATGATCTCAGTGGTCTGTGAGTTTGAACCAGCATCGGGCTCTGTGCTCTGTCTCTCTCTCTTTCTGTCTCTCTGTCTCTCTGTCTCTCTCTCTCTCTCTCTCTCTGCCCCTCCCTGCCTGTGCTCTGTCTCTCTTGCTCTCAAAATTAAGTAAAACATTTAAAATAAAAGAATTTCCAAATTAGGCTTCTAGCCCTTGAGGGTAGAACAGTTGCTGCCTCCGTGTCACTGTCACTCTGCATTCCCTGGCACTTTGCCAGGCTCCCTAATTCTTTCCCATAGTGAAGACTCCAGGAAGCCAGTTTCAACATTTTTAACCTTCTGTTTCCTGTTCTCTTTATATTAGTTTTGTGCTTAGTTCAAAAACTGTGTAGTTCAAAAAGCTGATGTTTTTAGTTTTATTGTGATAGAAGTAGAGAAGTGAACCATTGATACTCATATCACTTTTAGTTTACAGAACCTTCAGCCTGGAAGTTTAAGCTTTAATACAGAGTGAACATCACGGTTTCTTGGTCTCCAACCGTGTATTTATCATTGTGTCTGTGAACAGGTTCCTGGTATAAATTTACCTGTCAACCAACTGACCTATTTCTTCGCTGCAGTTCTCATTAGTGGTGTTGTACATGAAATTGGACATGGGATAGCAGCTATTAGGTAATGATATTTTTCTTTCTACTAATGCAAAAAAAAGCTTTTAGTAGGGTTTATTACTTCGTTGTTTAGTAGCATTTATTATTTCAAATCTGCTTCACTTGATAATTTTTCTTTCTGTGGATGTTGCCCAGTGCATATCCACATCATTTTGAGGTACCTACTCTTTTATAAAGATTAATATATTGATGAAATAGTCATTTAACCATGTGTACATTGTAATCATTTGCCAGCATGATTATATCTTCATGGTGCTTCAAGATTTTAATCAAACCCTGAAACCTAATCTTTCTATTCATCATTAGGTCAGAATGATAACCACTGCACTTGTAGCCCATTGACCTGCCTTCCTATTACTTTGTTTGACTTATTGGCCAAAATATATTTCTGCTTCCACTCATGGCCTCTGCTGGTTAGAGCAAGAACATTGAAAGCTCCAGATTTGTTAACAAATATCATAGCCTATCTAGAAACCTAAGTAAGAGAAGATAAGAGAGAATGAGATCTGGGTCTTTCTTCCAAGTATTATGCCCTGTTCTTGTCTTGACTACTTTAATGTATCATTCATTGTAATTATGCCTGAGTATTTTAAAGGCTTCTAAACTTATAAATTTGTGATAGGAGAGCACAATTCCCCCTTCACTCCCACTGGTAATTACTGCCATGATGCACACACATACTGATGGAAATGTGTTCTATCCTCTGGGTATGTGGACCAGATAGAAGGTTTTATAGGAAAAGATGTAATCACTTCTTATTACTTTCCTGTTGCTTATGAACAAGACTCTGTTGACTGCCAGTAAACCGTCATCTTGACAAAGCATATACTGTTACATGTAGTGGTTTAGGTGGGCAGCTACTTTTTCTTTTTTTTAATCTGTCACCTTTGCTTCCATGTTTTTAGCATTGTAGCTTTTAGGGTTTTACATATAAAATCATTGTTACTGGCAGTTTAATACACATTATTTCACAGATATACTGTGAATAATCTTCTATAAAAACCAACTACCCAATAAAAGTGAATTTTAGTCTTCTTATATATTTAGTACTAAATGACAGCACAATATATTTAGGGGATGGTTTTTTTAGAGTAGCTGTTTGGTCTTATGAGGTTATTAAGTATAATTCCATTTTTAGAGAATGAATTGATAAAAAATAGTTCCCTTAAGGACAATCTGAACATTATGGATATTTAGGTATACTTATTTAAACATTAATGCAATAGGAATACACTTAGATAAACCTCCACTTTTATTTATATTAGCTAAGATAAATATATTTAGATAACTTTACTTCAATTGTATTTTCTATTGTGTTCTTCTCTGAAAATAATTCAGGGTAAACGGTTAAAGTGTTCTTCATTTAGTTCCTCATGGAAATATTAAACATTTCTTCATATATGTGACTAATTTCAAGTTATTTGTTCAGCATACTGGTCTCTAAAAGTTTTGAAATTTTAAGCCTATTTCAGAATACTGTTGTTTTACAAAAATGCAATTTCACAGATAACCAAACTGGTACACTGTTGTAAAATTATGAGATAAATATATATCATATATATGGGTATTTTTTCTTGGCTGTCTAGAGAGACTTGGTTTTCAAGGAAGAATTTAAATTACAGTGGGAAGTTTTAAGATTAAATATATTATTAATTGGAAAAATGTAATACTAGTAGTAAATTCCTTTTTCTCATGTGATTTCTTAGGGAACAAGTTCGATTTAATGGCTTTGGGATTTTTCTCTTCGTTATTTATCCTGGAGCATTTGTTGATCTGTTCACCACTCATTTGCAACTTATATCACCAGTCCAACAGCTAAGGATATTCTGTGCAGGTAACAGACTTAAATTTCTTTATTCATCTGTGTGTTGTTATGTAATGTATTCACATCACAAATGAAAACATCTCACTCTTTGGTTGATAAATTCAGTTTATAAGATTCTCAGTCAAAAATAATAAAACAAGGGAAACTTAGCTGGCTCAGTCTGAAGAGCATGTGACTCTTGAGCTCAGGGTCATGTGTTCAACCCCCATATTGCCTGTAGAGATTACTTAAGTAAATATTAAAAGAAAAAAATAAAGCAAAATTATTTACACATTCCAGTTTCTTCATTAAAAACAACAATTATTTTAAAAAGGTTGAAAAAAAGTTAATAGGACATACCATGCAAATGTGAACAGAAAATATGACTACATTAAGTTAGTTAGACATAGAGTGTCACTTGATAATCATGAGTGTAATCCACAATGAAAACGTAATCATTGTGAATCTTACTGCATCAAGTAACCATCAAAACGACAATGGAAAAAGTACAAGACTAAAACAAAAATTTAATATAGGAAGCTAATCTCATCTCTCAGCACATGGCTGGTGAGATGAAAAGTCAGATCATCAAAACTAATTAGTAAAGTAAAAATCAATAGATATGTCAAACCCTATACCATGAGTTTCAAGTGACCCTGAAACATAAAAATTGACCAATTTAATTCAGAACATAATTGTAGTATATTTAAAAATGACTATGAAATAATGTGTAAAGTTTTCCTAAAAGGAAAAGTTACTCCCTTATGTAGTTACTATGAAGCAAATGAAAATGTTAAATATTCAACTGAAGAAGTGAGAAAAGAACTATAAAATAGTTAAGAAATGATGTAATTAGTAAAGATGTAGGTAGAAAATAATGAATAAGAAAAAAAAAACAGTTTAAATATAAGAGGTTTGGGGTGCCTGATGTCTCCATTGGTTAAGCATCTGACTTCTGCTCAGGTTGTGATCTCACAGTTCATGGGTTTTGAGCTCTGTGTTGGGCTCTGTGGTGACAGCTCGGAGCCTCGGGCCTACTTCGGTTTCTGTGTTTCCCTCTCTCTCTTCCCTTCCCCTGCTCTCTCTTTCTCTGTCTCTCAAAAATGCATAAACGTTAAAAAAGTTAAAAAGTAAAAATAAATATAAAAGGGTTTTTAAAGGAAAAAGGATTATACACGGGAGAAAGCATTAATAGAATTTACAGTCAGGTTGGGGAATGACAACTGATATAAAGAAAACTAAAACTATTTTAAAAAGTGTTCTTTGTTCATCTCTGCAAAAAAACTCTCCAAAACTTGGGTAGTTATTAAATGTAAATGGCATAACCACCAGAGAACAAAGAAAAAAATCTAAATGGCTAATTATAATGGGAGAAATTAAGTAAGTTGATGGAGAATGCCCCAAAAGTTTCATAGGGGTAATTCTTTCTAATCTTGAAGGAAAAGTTGTTTTTTTTTTCTTAAATTACAATTAAGTATAAACTTTTCAGATCACATGGAGAAGGAAACTTAAAAAAAATTTTTTTAAGCTAATAGAACACTGATACATCATCTTATAAAGTACCAGAAACTCTACCTATGGTGTATCTAAACAATGCAAGGATGAGTCAACATTAATAAATGCATTTGAACGTGGCTAAACATTATTTACCATTAAGGGGGAAAAAATCCGCCTCTCAGCAGGTTATCGGACTGAGTATTTAACAAAATTTGGCATCCATTAATGGCTAAAAAGCAAAAATCCTTAGTAAAGGTAAAAATAGCTGGATACTTCCTAATGGTTAACACTTGAAAGCATTCTCATTAAAGGATAAGACAAGCAATCCCATTATCATTTATCACTGGTACTATTAAAGGGTCTCTAAATGTGGGTCCGTACAATAAGAGGGGAAAATGACAAAAATATTAGAAAGAACTAAGCCTTTTTTTCAGATGTTGTTATGTATTTAGCGGGGGAGAGGGAGAGAAAACATGAAAATCAACGGAAACGTAGCAAACTTCAGGGAAGAACGTGGTTACTGAATTGCTATTCAAACAAGAACAGCGTTGTGTTGCAGCGGGCAAACATAAGCACAAGGGCTGGAGCGTCCACGAGCACATGGGTGTGAACGTGAGCGCGCACTTGCTGAGGAGCGGGGAAGCGCATGCACCAGGGGCACCCAGAAACCCCCGCGTCTTCCGCGTTCTCAGTGTTCTCAACGTCCTCAACGTCCTCAGCGTCCGTGACCGCTTCTACGGCTCCGCGTGTCTTCCTGCTCGACTACACGTAGCTGTGGAGTTCGCGTTTTTGTCTCAGCCTTTTTCGGAGGCTTCCATTAGCCCAGCCACTCGTCCTGAAGTCAAAACCACCACGAGTTCTCAGCCATGGCCTCCGATGACGCTCTCTACATCCACACAGAAAATCCGGACTTACTTTCAGATATCATAGAGCTGCACCAGATCCAAATGGACACCGTCCCTGTGGACGCCGTACCTATGGAGACTATGGCGATGGAAGCCGGCACAGAGTACGAGATTATCAGCGGCAATTGGGTCCATGGAGGCCACCACCATACACCTATGATCGCGCTACAGCCATTCTTGACCAGCAACTCGAGCCAAGGAGACCACCACCAGGATATAATCATGGTGCAGACACAGGAGGAAGTGGTGGGCTACTACGAGTCAGACGATCTGCAGGCCAGCACCAATTCCGAGAACCAGGTGGTCATCCCAGTCAATCAAGACGACAACTTCCAGCAGACCCTGGCTTCTTTGTCAACCTCCGTGTCATCCTCAGCTGTCAGCCACAGCAAGAAGCGCAGCAGCCAAAGCAAGAAGTCAAGCGGTAAGAAGAATAACACCAACAGCGAGGCCCACGCAGGAAGTAGCAGCTCTGAGATTGGCAGAAAGAAATGGGAGCAGAAGCAGGTGCAGATCAAAACCCTAGAGGGTGAGTTCTCTGTCACCATGTGGTCCCCAACTGACCAAAGAGAGAAGGACACAGGGCAGATTAAGAATCCAGCTCCCGATTATTCAGAGTACATGACAGGAAAGAAGCTTCCTCCTGGAGGAATACCTGGTGTTGATCTCTCAGATCCTAAACAACTAGCAGAATTTACTAAAACGAAGCCAAAAAAACCCAAAGAAGATGTTCCGAGAACAATAGGTTGCCCTCATAAAGGGTGTGAGAAGATGTTCAGAGATAACTCTGCTTTGCGCAAACATCTGCACACCCACGGTCCTAGAGTCCACGTATGTGCAGAATGTGGCAAAGCTTTTGTTGAGAGCTCAAAACTAAAACGACATCAACTGGTCCACACTGGAGAGAAGGCCTTTCAGTGCACATTTGAAGGCTGCGGCAAACGCTTTTCCCTCGATTTCAATTTGCGTACACATGTGCGAATCCATACCGGCGACAGGCCCTACGTGTGCCCCTTTGATGGTTGTAATAAGAAGTTTGCTCAGTCAACTAATCTGAAATCTCATATCTTTACGCATGCTAAAAACAAAAACAGACAGAAGGGAAAACCCTTGTCAAACTTGGAAAGTGTCTTCCAGGAGCCTGATTGAAAATAAATATGCCTCTTTTGTGTATTGCTTCTAGGAAATAATATTTTTAATGATTCCTATATATCTAAGGGTCATGTTTTGATAGAGTAGTAAAAATAAAAGTAAAAAGTAAAAAAAAAAAAAAGGTATTCCTTTATATACCATTGTTAGGGTGCTATATCTTGTTCTGTAATACTATTTGAAAAACATGGTGTTTTGTAAAGTTTGGTACCAACAGGAGGATAATTTATGAACCTCACATCCAAAAATGGTTCTTTATACAACTGTTCTAAAAAATGGGACTTGTTTTCACATTTTAAAAAATACAAAGTTCACTTATTGCTTACAAATTTTTAAAGTTCTGTATTTTCCAAATGTTCATATTTATAGTTTTAGGAATATGTTTAGTAATTCTTTGTATGGTTTGTTGATAACTTTGCTTACAATAGATTTTCTTTAAAACAATGAACAGTAACAAAGTATTTTCCTATTGAAAAAAAGTTACATAGGTTTTGTTTGCTATCTTATTTTTGGTTGTATTCTTTGATGTTAACACATATTTCATAACTGTCTTTTAGCTGCATTGATTTACATAGTATTGAATATTAGATGTGACTTAATAGTATTAGTTAATTCAATTCTGTTTTAGTCATTTTATTTCCCCAAAATACTGCCTCGTGCAGTTGTTTAGTATAACTTCTTTGCATGTTCATGTAGACAGTGGTGCTTAGTTGTAGAATATATTTTGTGTGTATTGACTTTTTAACACTTGATATGTACATCTTGTGTAATAGAAAAAGCAAAAATAAAATACTTCTTCTAAAGAAGGAAAAAAAAGTGTCTGTGTAAATACCATAGCTAGAAAAGAGAAAATGAGGAGGTTGTTACTGGCATCTGGTGGATACAGGCTAGGGATGCTGCTAAACATCCTACAATATACAAGATAGTTCCCCACAACATAGAATCATTTGGCCCAAAATGCCAATGGTGCCACTATTAAAAACTCCTGCTCTAGAAAAAGTAAAACTTATAACAAAGATTCCTTTGGTATACTTACAAACAAATCATTAATGGACAAGAGGTTGTTTAAATAAAGGAATTGTGTGTATTGTACCACCCTTACTGCCACTTAGCCATCATGGGCAAATCTGGAATCCAGAGGGGTGATCTCATACCAGCTGCGCCCCTGACAAGAGATAAGAGGCTGCTCAGAGAGGCAAGAAAGCACTCTGACTGTTGTTTGGATGGGAAAACAGCATGGTCTATGGTATGACTGGTGGGATTATCTTGATAAGGGAGAGGTGGTGAGAGTGCAAGCATCTAGGCAGCCCTTGTGGAGCTAGGGGAAAGCTGAATTTAATATAAACTTAATAGTGGCAAATCTAATGGGGGGGTGGATTATTTTGTGAAATTGTGTTGGGACTAGCTACTTGATGGCAGGGGTGGGGGGTTACAGCTGTATCCCTAAATTAGTTTCACTAGAGTAAATTCCAGTAGGCAAAAGAAAGTTTTTTATTTTGTTTTTTTAAATGAAGCCATGGGGGTGCCTGGGTGGCTCAGTTGGTTAAGCGTCCAACTTCGGCTCAGGTCATGATCTCCCGGTTCGTGGGTTCGAGTCCTACATCGGGCTCGGTGATGACAGCTAGCTCAGAGCCTGGAGCCTGCTTCGGATTCTGTATCTCCCTCTCTCTCTGAACCTCCCCTGTACATGCTGTCTCTCTCTCTCTCTCTCTCTCTCTCTCTCAGAAATAATAAAACATTAAAAAATAAACATTTAAATGAAGCTATGAAAGTAATACAAGAAAAACACAGATGCGTGGGTATCTTCTATGGTCTTGAACTGGAAAAGGCTTACTGCAAAGGAGCAATTTGACCACATCAAAATATAAAATGTCTTCATAGGCAGAGCTATAAACCAAGCCAAAAACCAAACTGGAGGAAAAATTATATTACTCTTAAAAAGGACTAAATTTTTCAGTATATGTATATATATATATATATTCAATAATTATATAAATCAGTAAAAAATATGTAAACAGGCACTAGGTAAAAATAGTTCTGAGATAACAGAAATACAAATAACCTTTTAATAAACATGAAAAATGTACAAGCTTACTCATACTAAACAGAAATCACAGCAGATTTTACTTTTCACCTAACAGATGGCAAAGTCTAACATTTTCCTAGCATCCAGGGTTATTTACAGGGTAGGGAAACATGCCAGTTATGAGAACATAAATTAATGCAGTCTCATTGGAGGTCAATTTTAATGCACATTCTTTTTGACCCAGCAATTCCATTTCTATGGAATTTTCCATACCTTCACAGCTACATACTTAATTAGATACATAACAATATGAGCAAAGCTGTTTATTGCAGCATTCTATGAAAAAGTGAAAGCAACCTAAGTGATCATTAGTAGGGAACCTTATAAATAAATTACTATGTTTTAAAAAATGGATTACTCTGTAATAGTTATAAGAACTGGGCATTCTGATAAATTAGTAAAATAATGGATGTAAGAAATGGGATAAATATGAGTATGCAAATAAGGGAAAAGTCCAAAGTTCAAAATATAGTTTCCAATAAATAGTTTGATATCACTGGTGTATTTAAAAGAAATCTCTCCGTATAGTACAGAAAAGATTGTTTACCCATTATGTCCTGGACTAGACTTGCCCTGAAAAGAAAAAAAGAAAAGTACATCTTAACTGTGAATAAGGTGCATGAAACTTGTCTTAGGTATCTGACTGCTATAACTAAAAGTAACAATGGCTTAAACTCTCATAAAACATTCCAAATGTAAGTAATTCAGCAATGAAATGTTAATTCTGTTATTTGGGGGACTCAGACTTTCTGTCTTGTTAACTCACTATTCCCAACATGCAGCTTCTATGTCATAGACTCAGGTTTGTCTCTGTCATAGCTACATTCCAGCCATAAGGACACCTCCACTCATATCCTGTTAGCCAAAGCAGTCGTATGGCCAAACTCAGCTTCCTGCAAGTCTGGAAAATGTCTTTAGGTTGTGTTTCTATCACTATAAAACATTGCCTCTTAACCACTGGTGCTGTCACCCTCCTGGAGATGTTTGGAATGTATGGGGGGCAGGGAGCATTCCTTGGTTGTCTCAGTGAGGGGAAAGTACTAATGGCATTCAGTGGATGGGAGCCAGAAAGGCTAAATATCCTCGAGTGCAAGGGAGAGACTTGCACAACTAAGAATTGCAAGGTTCAGAGTGCTAGTAGAGCGCCCACTCTTCCCCATGAGAAAAACTGGTAGAAGAAGGAAAGGATCAGTGTGGGGGAGAAGGGTGTCTAGGGATGCTCTAGTCATTTTTTTTAATATTTTATTTATTTTTGAGATAGAGATAGAGACAACGTGAGCAGGGGAGGGTCAGAGAGAGAGGGAGACACAGAATCTGAAACAGGCTCCAGGCTCTCAGCTATTCCTCAGCACAGAGCCCGACGCGGGGCTCGAACCCACGAACCGTGAGATCATGACCTGAGCTGAAGTTGGATGCTTAATTGACTGAGCCACCCAGGTGCTCCGTGCTAGCCATTGTTTAACCCCTGGCTCTGGAGGTGAGAGTGAGGAGCTCTGGTATGTAGCATTTGCTGGTTTCTGTGGCATAATTACTCCTGCCATGGGCAATATCAAGGTGCCAACTGAACATCCCTGAAGGAGGAGTTAGGAAGAGATGTACACAGTCAGCCATGGCAAGCTGGTAGGACCAGCCTCCAACACACCACTGGGTTCACCTTAATCATCTCTGCATATATGGTAGAGATGGTTACAGGCTGTGACATGGTGTAAGATACATACTCTATTTGGTCCATCAATATTACTCTCCATAATAGTTTAAGTCTTAAAACAGTTTCTTTTTCGTTTTTTATTTAGTCTTAACTTTTATTTTAATAGCTCTGAAATTTTTTCAAAGATCACAAATATGTTTTGATTAATGATGTATACATCTTCTGAAAAGATGATAGAGCGAGTAGAAATTCTGTTTGTTTTATATGTATATTAGAATATAGATTCTCTTAGTGTTAAATCATATTAGTATGTGGTCTTCTTAATGTGGTATAAACATGCTCATTTTACATTTCACTATCTGGAATAGAAGAGGCCTCTAACTGAACATCTGTCTGCTGTACTAATAAGTAAATCTATCTGCTTTGCGGCTTCTTCTGGTTACTTCACTAATTTACCAGAATGCCCGGGTGTTATGAAGTCCAGATACCTAGATCATTCCTGTCCCTGGTTGAGCTGACTCCTTTTTTTCTCTCTTTTCAGGTATCTGGCATAATTTCGTCCTTGCACTCCTAGGTATTTTAGCTCTTGTTCTCCTCCCTGTAATTCTCTTGCCGTTTTACTACACTGGAGTTGGGGTGCTTATCACTGAAGTTGCTGAGGTAAATAATGAGGATTACTTGGGGCATCCTTTTACCTGATTGTGATATAACACAGCATTTTATGATGTCAGGAACTTTTATTCAAGTTCTTATATGCAGAATGCTCAGTTTCTCCTGAAGAAATTACTATAAGCCTTTTAAATTGAACAGAAAGTTTTGTGGAAGATATTGGCTTTTTTAAAATACTTAAAATTGTTTCTGTTCTGAGTTACAAAGGTAATATCAAGGTTTTTTACCTCTACTTTGTTGATAAAATCTATCACCTACCTTTACTGTTTATTTTTATAACTGTGCTTTTGAGACAAATGCCCTTACTCCTAAGTAAGAAGATTGAAACCTAGGCTGGCCAGCTGGAACAATTCATGGGAGTTTTAAGTAACCGTCTTCAACTCTGTATTTCACTCCCTTAAACAATAATTACTGCGATGGCATCAAGTCTTCTATTCAGACTTTCAGAAGAGGAAAATTACCTTTGTGAACAACTGACTCACATACTCATTGTGCTGATGGTATTGTCTGTCTATTTGGGACTGTGTTTAGATAAGGACTTGTCTTACAATTTTACCCACTGATGATACACAAGACAATGAAGGCATTCTGGTGACTACTTTCACAAAAAAGTTATTAGTTATGAGTTATTAGTGCATCAAGAGAAGTAGGAAAAGTATAATTGTTAGGTTGATTTTGTTAATGTTCTAGGACTATACATCTTACATTCAAAGGTGGATTATTTTCTGCATTAGTCAAAATATTCTACTTAATTAAATCAGAGTCTTTAATTATTTGGTCAGATAAATCATAGCTTGTCTTCATACATTATCTGATTTGGTTGTACCCTCTTCCCAAGGACTCACCTGCCATTGGACCCAGAGGCCTTTTTGTGGGAGACCTTGTCACCCATCTACAGGATTGTCCTGTTACTAATGTCCAAGATTGGAATGAATGTCTAGATACCATCGCCTATGAGCCCCAAATTGGTTACTGTATTAGTGCATCAACTTTACAGCAGTTAAGCTTCCCAGTTAGAGGTGTGTATATTTCTTCAGTATAATATCATGCTTCAGGGGTGCCTGGGTGGCTCAGTTGATTAAGTGTCCAACTCTTGGTTTCACTTCACGTTATGATCTTACAGTTTATGAGTTCAAGCTCCTCATTGGTCTCTGTGCTGACAGCATGGAGCCTGCTTGGGATCCTCTCTCTCCCTCTCTCTCTCTGCCACTTCTCTGCTCACGCGCTCTTTTTCTCTCTCAAAATAAATAAGCTTTTTAAAGAATAATAATAATAATAGTACAATAATATCATGCTTCAAGCAACAGTATTTGCCATTCACCAATTCGTAGCCCATGTCTATAGATTTATTTTGTTTAGTTTC